AAACAATATTTTCAAGACCCTTTAACATGCATTTGATTTGGGATTAAACTAATTATTTAACTTTAGAGTTGACTGGTGCCCAGGGCCCAGGAGTTCAAAACTTTTAATCTCAATCAGATCCGATCCGATTTTGAAATCCCATTTTTTGTGATCCAGGATCAGACAAGTCGGCCAGATTTTGTCCCTGGAGTTCAAAGCAATTCAGGATAGGATCAGCCTGATCCAGATTACGATTTTTCAAGATGACTAGATCCTGAATATCAGTGCTTTAATCCTACCGATCGCCATCTAGTGGACATGAAAAATAATACAAGGAAGACAAGAGACCAAATTGCAGAGACATCTATAATGTTTAATTATATTTTTTTATTTGAAAGGAGATGACAGATGATGGACTTTTTTTTTGTTGAAGATATTTTTACTTTAATCTAAATTACATTTGTGATTGACAATCTCTGCTGTGATACTTTTATGAGCATAAACATTTATGTCATCAACATTTGGTTGAAAACAAAATAGGCCACCACAAACGTGAGCAAAAATGGAAAAAATAAAATGTATTTCCCATGAAGGCTAAAAATGGTGTATTATTTCAGTTAACAAACTTTACCATCTTATTCAAATTGAAACATATTTTAAAATAAATTGTACAGTACATTTTGCTCTGGTAATCCACTGGAAATCCACCCCTTTGGTGGGATCAGGATAATCCAGTTTTTTGGGATCAAACTGATCCCAGTCCTGTGTTGTCGGTTTGAACTACCCATTTTGAAGATTTGATCCAGATTAAAGCTTGGATTGGATTTCCTGATCTGATCGGATATGAAAGTGATCGTAATCCTGTTTTTTGGTTTTGAACTCCCCAAAATCCAAATCTGATCTGATCAGATAGGGATTAAAAGTTTTGAACTCCTGGGCCCTGAACATTGCTTCAATCACATCCTAATACATTTTGGAAAGCAGTATCTCTGATTTGATGGTTATAATTTATATTAGCTGTTGAGGATGTGGTTGGGGTCAGAGACAATGTTGTTGGAAAGCCTCAATATGTTACTATGGTAGATTGAGTCATGGAGTTTTTTAAAGGGTTGACATACAATCTTTGAGCAGATGTTTATTTGGTGGTGCAGTTTATTTTATACTGGTACTTCTGTACCTTATGTAGAGGAGAAGAACCGTCGTCATCGCAGAGCATTGGGTCTGCTCGGTGCTGAAGCAGGAGTCTGACGACATCCAGATGACCGCAGTAAGCTGATCGATGGAGTGGCGTGGCACCGCCTGGTGTCTGGGGAGATGCACAAGCACCACTCTCAAGAAGAAACTTGCAGACCGCGTGATGACCACTGCGACTTGCATAGTGCTGAGATAAAACACACAACAAATGATGCAATAATTTTAGATGGATTAAAACACTTGATGCTGCACACAAACATATTCCCAGAGAACTCACCAGAGCTGTGTAACCAGTAGAGTCTCTCAGGTTAGAGTCTGTGCCCTTCTGGGTCAAAGACTTGACCCTCTCCAAGTCCCCATCCATCGCAGCAGACCAGATACCTGCATAGAAGAATGACACACAGCACTGTACTTCCAGAAAACTATTGCCAAGGTGAAAAAAATGCATTTAATACATATGTTATGTATTTTCAGAACTCTATTAGACTATGGTTTATGACAGGTGAATGCAAACCTCGTTCAAAATCCATTTCACTCAGCGTCTGGTAAACACTGGGAGAGGAGACTGGATTAGTGCAACACGAACATTGTGGTCTGTCAGTCGCCATTGTGCATAACAAAATAGTTACATACACTTTCAAAACAAAAGCTAAAGACTTGTTTTTGAGCTACAATCATGCATCTCCATGATGCTGTTTGACACTTCCGTGTTTTCTTCTTCTATCTTTGGTGGTGGACAACTTGGTGGTACATTATCACCACCAACAGGCTTAGCTTCAGAAGCACACAAGCCTAACAAATAAATGACTGTTTAACCGTATGACCATATATAAAGAATATATGTTGCATTATAACTCAGATACAGGTCGAAACTACTCCAATAAGAATTTTCTTTGGTAAACAAAACTGCAGGATGGCAAAACGTTTGCACCACCAGACCACCCGATAAATAAAACAAGCGCACCTACGTATGAAGGCTCCGACCAATCACAGGTCCGTATTAATAAAGACCCCTTCAGATGCTCTTAGATTTGTCGTTTTTTTTAAACTGAGACTCATTACTTTTTTTGTGGCTGCGTATTGCTTATGAAAAGCGAACTATCACATTTAAAGGATCTTTAAAACATTTGTTATCTTCACAAACAACAACAACACTATAAATAAATTGATTATTTAATTGATAATATTCTAATGTAATTATTTAAAAAGAATTGCTTTTTTAACAGTGACACTCTTTTTAGCAAAATGTCTGCCAATTAATTTCATATTAACCCACTCGTGGTTTTAGTTACTACAATATAATGTTGGGTACTTTAATGTATACCAAATAATCATATTTTTAACGTGTTTCCTAAGTATCATGTGTCAAATCTGAATTCATAAAGTAACTAGTAAATAAGTGTGTAACATAATTGTAGTGGAGTCAAAAGTATACAGCACACCAAATCGTAGTAGAGTAGAAAGTTAGTGGGAAGAAGTATAACATCAAAATACTTGGGTAAAGTACAAGTACCTCAAATAAATGTTTACTGAAGTACAGTAGGCTACTTGAGTAAATGTACTGAGTTACTTTCCACCACTGGTCTACCCTTGCTTTTAAATGCGTTCTTGAAGTTGGAAGGATTGAACGTACCGATGTTTTCCGACAGTTCCTGAACGCCTCTTGTGTCTCGTGTTGTTGTCTGATGCAGCTAGCTAGCCAGTAAGCTTGAGTCAACCGAGTGTTAGCTGGCAAACGCCACATTATCATTTAAATTATAACAAGTAGTACTAAATTACTATTAAGTACTAAATACCAAAGCGCCTAAAGCATGAGAAGAGTTACCCTGTTTGTTAACGGGACATCTAAAAATGGCAAGGTTTGTACAAACAACTCTGGGGCTGTTTAGTTTAAGATCTGGGCCGTAGAATGACTGGCTTTTTCCACTGAACATACGTGTTTAATTATAACTAGTGTATGTTAAATATAGTTTTATAGCATCTATATCTGTACATATGTAATAACATGTTCATATACAGTCATTGTAAACGGCTTGTCATTTTACAATACTTAAATAAATGTGATATAAACCAAGATGTGACTCATTAATCTGGTATTAAGTACGAGTGACCCATTTCAGACTGTAATCCCTAGCACTGCTGCTGTTTCAGGTTGTAGCAGTATACGGGACCTTGTCAGATTTACTATCCGTAGCAAGCAATAAATTAGGAATCAAAGCTGTGTCTTTATACAATGGAAAGGGTGGTCTCATAGATGACATTGCCCTTATAAGGTAAGCTAACATCATAATGATACAACACATGTATCTGAGCGCATTGGGAGCCTGCAAACCTAATAATGTCTCTGTATTTTCCAACAGAGATGACGAAGTGTTGTATGTCTCAGAAGGAGATCCATTTATTGGTGAGTGTTGTGAAATGTCTGCTGCGGGCAAGACATGTAAAAGTCCCCACCAACTCTTCTACGTAGGAGCTGGACTCAAAGACTTTATAAATGTGCAGCCTCCTTTTGCTTCTCTTTGTAGCTGTTTATTTTCTTCTCTCTTTTGTTGACCAAGACTTTTGTTTTTGTCGTCCAACTACACCAGTACAATTTGTTTTTGACTGATAGATTAGATTATTTAGTTGACAGATCTATAAAACTTCTCCACAAAGCATCATGCAAAGGCACCACAGATAGAACATTTGTTTGAAAAAGTCTCTTTTGTAGTTGTTTGGAGCCCATTTGTAGTATTGTTGTATCTCTTTGTAGTCGGGAGTATCTCAGAGTTGTTAGCGTGTCTATGTCTGTGTTTCCCCTTTTTTAATACACTTTTTAAGACACTTTATATGTCACTTTAGACCCTTGTGCCCTTGCCCAATCGGCTTGTCAGTAATCCACCCATGGCTGCAGTCTCATCTACTGTGTGTATAAGTGTGAATATGGTGTCAGACACTTAGACTTCTTATCTGTTTTTGTATCACAGACCCTCAGAATGAGGCCAAGGTTACAGCTGACCAGCACGGAGCACACACTGATTGGCTGACCCTTAATATTGGTGGTCGTCCCTTCACCACCACCAGGTATCTGATGTTTTCACAAGTCTTAAAAACATTATAACATACTTGTGATTTCTTCTATACCACAGTGTATGTTTTCTTTTGTTCCGGCTACATTTGCATTCATTTTCTTCTTTCCTAAATGTGTCTCTGTTTTGTGTTCAGGAGCACCTTGGTCAGCAAGGAGCCTGAGAGTATGCTAGCTCACATGTTTCGAGAGAAAGGTGAGCTGACAAGCCTTTAGACATTTCCTTTAGTTTTATATGAGGCAGCCTCTCTGAATATGTTTTGTAACCTCTGTGTTTGCTCCAGATGTGTGGGGGAACAAGCAGGATGAGCATGGAGCGTACCTAATTGACCGAAGCCCTGAATACTTTGAGCCAATTCTCAATTACCTGAGACATGGTCAGCTCATTATCAATGAAGGCATAAATATACGAGGCAAGCTTTTCTGATGAACACTAAATATGTCTGCCATTTGAATCCCTCTGAGGATGGGTTTGAAATGAAATCTTCTCATAATATTTGTCTTCCAGGTGTCCTCGAGGAGGCTCGGTTCTTTGGAATTGAGCAGCTTACTGAACAGCTGGAAGCAGCAATCAAGGTTATTTGAAGCGTGCAAAGTTAATTGTTTTAATGTGATAAATCTCCCATGAACGCATTGTGACTTCTCGCCTTACTTTCAAATAAGAACACTCAGCCGGCTGAGGACCACTCTCCCATTTCCCGCAAGGAGTTTGTTCGTTTTCTTCTGGCAACTCCCACCAAGTCAGAGCTCCGCTGTCAGGTACAGCCAAGTTCAAATGGGCTATATGGCCAAAATCTTGTGGTATATGTCATTTTGCATCACCTGAACGGTATATATTATAAAAGTAGTATTTGTTCTATTAATCCAATTAATTAATGTTCTATAAATAATCAAACCGTACTTCATCACATAGGATTATTTTCCTCTTTTGTTAGCATCACGAGGCAAAAAACTTAAATATTTTAAAAATAGAAGCTTTAGGATTCCTTAATTTTAAGGACTAAAGGTTTAAAGGTTAACATGGGCAAACAAATACAAACTACTAATAATGACTTAATTCGGCACAATATAAGAAACAAACACATTTGTATTTTCGAGCAAACTAAAGGAAAATAAAATCTGCAGGTTTTGTTCATCTTTCATTTCAAAAAGAGGATCAAATACTTTTGAAAAAGTATGTGGTAACCATAACCAGGGTTCTTTTATATCTGATAGGAACAGTAATGCAGAATCTTGATGGTAAAATGTTTATCTTTGTTAAACATTATATATATACAGTATAGCATCATATTGCCATGACCCCCATCATTTTCTCATATCCAGATAATATTTGACACCTTTAATCTCGCTGTCTTTAGGGTCTTAACTTCAGTGGGGCGGATCTGTCCCGACTGGATTTACGCTACATCAATTTCAAGATGGCTAATCTGAGCCGCTGCAATCTGACACATGCCAACCTGTGCTGCGCCAACCTGGAGCGGGCCGATCTGTCTGGAGCCAACCTGGACGTAAGCCTGAAAACCTTTTTTCTTGAAAGCAATAAATGATCCACATGCAGTATAAACCTCTCTAAAATCTCACTGTGGGGAAGTGAACGTTACTGTGAGGGTTGGGTGTCATTCTTGTGATATTTTTATTTGTTGGCTGGTGAACAATGGACTGCTTTTTCCTCCATTTTACACCTCCTGCCCTCTCAATTGTGTGGAGGAAGGGCCCCTATGTTCTTAAACATGTTTGCCAATGGCTCACACCTACTCACATTCACCCTATTAAAAAAAGCAATACTCACAATGATTTATCTACGGATGATTTCCTAAATGTTTTCTTTAAAAGTCTCTATTTATTAGTCAAAAACCTAAAGACACTCAGTTGATTATGAAATAAATCAGAGAAAAGCAGAACATCTCCGTATTTGAAAGGATAACAAAAGGACTTAAAGGACAGCTCTAGTAAGTTTACATGCATTCATTGTAGGGGTGTTTCTCAATGTGTGCTCTAATAGAACATTATGAGCAGGGGTGCACATAACTCTTTTGCCCTGGTTCTCAAAGGAGCACCTGGAGATGTTGCTTGGTGCTCATCCTTAAAATGAAATAAACCATAACTTTTGTGGGGGTCTTGACTTTATGTGCCAGACACACGGCACTGAACACACGTGCAGAGGTGAACACAGAACACACATGCAGAGGTGAACACAGAACACACATGCAGAGGTGAACACAGAACACACATGCAGAGGTGAACACAAGACAACATTAGCACGACCAGTAATCCTACAAGCTGTCATCACTACCCTCCTCCTGACTGTTCTCCTCACTGTCTTCCTCTCTGTCAGACATGGTAGCTGATGATGTAGGCCTACTACTTTCTCTCTGGTTGAGTCTGGGATTAGCTGCTTGCATCCACAAGTCAACAGCTGGTTTTGGGTCGAAAGTCTCTGTTGTCATTTTAGACAAGTGGATGTAATCAAATAAGAATGTGAACATAACCAATAACCTACCATAGCCAATAACAAATGAATGTAACTTATTTTATTTGTGTTGTTCATTCATATCTTATTTTACCTTAAAGGTGACCTATCATGCAAAATGCACTTTTGTATGTCTTTTATACATGAATATGTGTCCCCGGTGTTCCAGGGAACTCACCAAGTGTCAGAAAACACAAACCTCTCTATTTTCCTCCATACACAAATCTCTTAAAAAGGGGCTGCAACGGATCTGACTTAGACTGATCCAGATTTGAACACTTCTATGACGTCACAGAAGTGGCGCTACGGCTATT